GGCAAGAATGAGACCACCACAAGTCACTGATAGAGACGTTTTGCTTGGGCACTGGCCAGAGCTTTGGGAAACCTCAGTGGAAGCTACAGGAACATTTCTCTTGGCTGCCAGCCTGTCCTTGATGCTGTCAGTGTAAGGGCCCAGACTAGATGTGTCTCGAGATCATTTTCAGTCTCTGTGCTGATGAAAATCCTCTGTTCTTGTGGTGAATGCAGTGGTGATTCAGCATTAGGAAAGGAGGGAAAATGATGGCCTTAGGAAAACCTTTTCACCGTGGTGAACACCGTGGTGTTCCGGAGCCTTCCATGGAAGGAAAGAAAATTATGAGGGGGGGAAAAACTATGAGCCCTGGGCAGAAAGAAAGGTTTTAGAAGGAAGCCCGCTGCTTAATGCTAGGGGAAGGCCGCAGCATCTGGGGTCTGCAGGCCTGTGCTCAGTGCACGCCCCAGTCCCAGGTCTTGCTCTCAGCAGTCTGCCTTTCTGCAGGAGGCAGCTCGAGTTGCAGGAGTTGCCTTTCTGCACTGCCGGGGCCTGGGCTAGCGAGGTGCGAGTGGAGAAGGACGGCACAGGACTCTGGCAGGTGTGGAAGAGACAAATCCAGCAGTTTAACAGAGTCAGCCCTGCAACAGCAGCAGCTATAGCAGAAGCATATACCTGCCCAAGCCTCCTGTTAAAGTAAAGGTAAACCCTCAAACCCCTCAGTGTCCTGTTAAAAGCTTGGAGGATGCAGGCAGGGAGGGGTGCCATGTGCTTCCTCACTTAAAGGTCTTTGCTGATGCAGCAAACAAGCCCTGAGTGTGAAATCGGCTCTCCAGAAAGGCAAGGCTTGTCTCCAGATGGGTGTTTGACTTGAACCGTGGCTTTGTTTCAGCAGTAGCTACTTACCCCTCCTGTTAGCCCTTCCAGGCCTCTCTCTGCCTTGGTCTCACCTCACAGGACCTGCTCAAAGTGTCTTTGTATTTTTGCTTGGCAGTGCATTTGGTTGCCCACCCCAGCCAAGGCAGCTGAGGGTCTGTTGGATGCATCCCGCTGCCCTTGTCCAACATGGTCTGTCCGTCAGTTTTGCTTGGTTTTGTTTGAAACGGATGATGTCTCGGGTGGCTGCCATTACAGTCCGCCAGCTCTACGCCACCCTCAAGCAGAAAACGTGTGTCACCCCTGCTGACTGTGAGGGCTTTCCACAGGATACCCGAGCTCTCTTGCCGCTTGCTGTCACCAGCGGCATACCCCATGCTTTCCTTGCTCTTCTGTTGCCTGATCCTTCAGGGAGGTGATTTAGCTCACTACATTCTCCCTCTCCCGACTCCCCTCAGCTTTCTGCGGCTTTGTGAGCTAGACTGGCTCAGTGAAGTGTTGGGGTAGCAGGATGAGACTAGGATGCTGTCTCACCCTTCTGACAGCAGCTCAGCCAGTTTATGAAGACACATTTGTATCAGCAAGTGTTTGTTTTTGTGAGCATTAATCACATAAACTCCTTCCATTAGATCAGGAACTGTGACAGAACTTTTTTTTTAAAAAGTCTCATGTAGTCAAATACTGTCATCTCCTTTTTCTTGCCCTGGAGCTTTGATCTCTGTCCCTAGCACAGCTTCTTTGGAAGAAGTGGCTTTACAGCTCTCTCCTTGTATGCTGGAGGGGCAACATACCACTGAGGGCAGGGGTGGAGGGGGTGTCTCTTTGCAAGTGACAGATCTTGTTTCTTCTGGGTTTTGTCGCCTGATCCTGGTATGTTTGGATGAAGGCTCAGTCATGGATCCTCACTGTAATGATGGGAGTGAGCCTTGCAGGGGAGCTTTGAGTCTTTTCGTAGAGCATCTGTGCTAGCTGCTTCCTTCTCTTGTGTGCCCAAAGGCCTACGAAGAATGCAGCACAGAAGATGAAAAACTACTTCTGCTGAGTGACATCCCAGTGAAATCGGATGTCAGCGGGAAAGACTGCTGTGTTGGGCCCGACTTATCCCGCCGCATCTATGTCTTCATGGTATCCACTGAGCCTGACCTTGTCCTGGACCTGAGCACAGAGAGGGACCGTGGGCCCTGTCGGTCAGCCTCCTTGGTTTTTCTGCCAAGACTCGGCAGTGGCTGAGCTGCTGCTGGCGCTGCAGTGCTGCTGGGAGCCCGGCCAGGGGAAGCAGCTGATTCTGTTTCAGAACAGAGACCTGCACATCAATAAATGTCTTGTTACAGATGCTTTCTTCAGCCTCTTGGCTCTCCTTTCCCCTTTTAGCTGCCCCAGCTTTCTGTCGCCCTGGCTGGAAAGCAGGCTGTCTCCTAAGAGAGCTAAGGAATGGTTGGAACAGGGGCTGCATGTGAAAGTGTTAGTGAGCTGTCCCTGAGCAGCACAGGATCAGCTCCTACACTGAGACAGCTGCTTGGTGAGTCTGTCCTGCGTTGCCTTTCAGGTGAGTTGTTGAAC